TGCACCACTCTTCTTCCTCACTGTTGCCCTGGCCTGAACCCCCCTGCACCCCTCTTCTACCTCACCATCACCCTGGCCTGAACTGAACCCCCCTGAACCCCTCTTCTTCCTCACCATCCCGCCAGACTGACTCCACAAAGCAGGAAGTCACGGAGCTGAAAGGGACATGTTCCAGCTGCTGCCACCAGCAGGCTGCTGATGACCCCCTCTTGTGGAGCTTAGTCATGAGGAAACCCACCCCAGAAACCATCATCACCATCACCACCACCACCATGATGCTGTCAGGCTCTGTCAGCTGACCAGACAGCAGAGCACATGGAAAACAGCCCCTGGTGAGTCTTATTTATAACACGAAACTATATGCCATTACCAACAGATTACGCCCCAAAAGATCAAACTTTGCAGAAGCAAACAAAGAGGTTTATCTGCGAAGCGACATCATCGGTCGGACAGGACCGCAGGTGGGAGTGGGGAGCGGCTCTGAACAATCTCCTTTCACGGGAACCTGCACACTCACACGCCTGAGGCCTACAGCTCCTGTCCCACCCAGCGCCCCTCCCTCATGACGCCATCGACACATCCCGCAGCCAGCCGGGCGGCGTGAAACTGCTTCGCCAGCATGTACAAACAAGTCCGGGCTCCCCTAAACCCATCTCCCACAGCCGCGGAGAGAGTCCGGGCTCCTGAGTCACCCCGTGGGCTGGGAGAGTGACTCAGGGCTGCAGCAGCTGTCTCCAGAGGGAGGACTGTGATGGAGGAGGGAAAGGCTCATTTTGCTGATTACTGCTCATGACCTCGTTATGGTCTCTACCGGGCAGAGAAGAGCTCAGGCTGCACAGATACACAGTATATGATCTGCACTCTCTCAGGGCTCTGGGAGTGGAGCTGCACACACAGGACCTGCAGTGACGGAGCAGGCCAGCAGGGGGCTCACAGCGCCTGGCTGCCAGGCCCAGGCATGGGGGAGAGACTGAGACACAGAGAGAAGCCTGCCGCCCGGTGAAATTCTCTCTCTGCTTGGCGTTTCACTTTTACTTTGCTGAGCTGCAAGACTTTTAAAATCCAAGTGAAAAACCCGGCAGTCCTGCGCTTGTGCTTGCCCAGGGCTGGAGAAGAAGAAAACACCCACCAGTGCAGCAAACCGCTTCTACAGGAGCTAAAAATGCCACCAAAGGCCCACCGAACCGACAAGAGAGGACACGAAGGACACTGCTGCATGGCCAAGAGACTCCTCTCTCAGCAGGCCTGAGCCCATCGCCATCGTGACGCTGACGGAGAGCGTGGAGCAGAGTGACTTCGTCTCAGTGGCTGAGCAACAGCAGCGGCACCAGTTCTCCCACAGCTTCCTGCAGTCCAGCCTGCTGCAGTTTCTGCCAATCACCCACACTTCACTGCTCCTGCCCCAGTCTCCAGAGCTCTTTCATCGACTGGCTGAAGTGAGGCCTCCTGCATGGCTCTTGTTTCCAGGTTTCGATTGCAGAAATCTCTGCCCAACTTCAAATCTGAAATTTAAACCACTAAACCACCTTAAACTGTCATCTGACTCCACAGATAATCTCTTAC